AGACAACCTCTCGTCAATATGCGTTTTTTGCATTGCATTGCTGCAAAAAACGCATAAAAACGCTCGGCCAAAACAACGGCATCTTCAGGGATTTCTAAGTTGTATTCATTGAAAAATTACCAAAAAACCAAACTTTTTATCGACAAAATGGAGGAAAAACTAAGATTTCGGGTCCAAACGCGTTCCAAAGTGTTTTTAAACCATATGTTTCTGACGCTTTTCTTTTTCTGAAAAAGGCGGTGATGGCAGTGATAACAACAGCCTGCTGAGCGCTTCCTGTTCGCACCACCTTCCTGCGCGGGGAACTAACGGAGCACTGTACATGCAGTACCAATTTATCATGCGAACTGCTTGAGAAAAAGGTTCTAAACAGCAGTTGTTTTATCCATGCTCAGCGTTATCCCAAACTCCATCATTTCTAACCGTAGCAAGCTCAAGAAGCATTCGATAAGCTGCAAGTTCCACCTCTTGGTTCTGCACGCTTTATTAGGATTTACACTTAGAAAAGTTTCATAAACAACATAATCATTCCCGATATTGAAGCAACAAAAAACCCCTACAGCTAGGCAATGCTAAAACATACAAATTTCTGAATTTGCTACCTAATAAGTGCATTTACTACATAAAATATAACAATGTTTCTAATATCAAAAAAAATTTTGTATAAAATCGGGATAAATTCAGCTCCGCAATTTCCCCATTTGTGATCGAAGAGGAAGCATGGGTGAGAAGCCTGAATATATAGGAGCAACAATTCACCGCGCTACAGCGAGTGCCCAGAAAATTTTGCTTCTGAAGCAAATTTTCAAGTCCAGTTTCTTTTGGGGGCCAACTGGTTAATTTTACAGCCCTTACATTTCATAGAATCGAACTTAGCAATACCCTTCACAAATTCACATTTTCTGCTTTGCTGTGGTGACTGGATTCAGTATATTTTTATGCGAAAAAAGCATTGGCATAGCGCTCCTTCAGCAATGCCAACAAACTAGTGAGGATCTACTAATTTCACAGCACAAAAAGGACTGGACACCAGTGGCACCACTGACGGACATGGAAGCGTACGTTACAACGACTGCTGGTGCACAGAAGAAAAGTATTTAAATTTATATAAAATTGGTGCATGAATCACTGGGGTGGACCAATCGGTATAAAAATTTTGCCACCTTTCTCCGGAATGGGTTGCCCGGCTTCCGGTAGTGCTGCAAGATTTGGTGGCGGTGCTGGGCCCCCAATGACACCTTTGAACGGTTGCTGTTCTGGACCAACGATTGGTGGTTTCAGGGCCGATGGTAAAATCGGCTGTCCCAAATTTATGTTCGTTTCCGGGAAATCGGTAATGCCTGGTGGCATTGATGGCGTGCCCTGCTGCGGCGGTGCCGTAAAGATGGCGAATGGTGGCAAGATGCCGGGCAAGTATGGCCAACTCATCGGTGTTGCTCGTTTAACCCGCGGTGCGTCGGGGGCTTGAGTAGTTTGCAGCCTGTTGTCGGAAGCCAGTTCAGCAATTGTCACCGCGTCTCTGGATGCAACAGGCAAATCGCTATTACGAGGTGGCACGCCTGGCACCGCATCACCGGAAACACCTGCGGACGGCACCGCTGGCGCACGTGGTACCGCACTTCCTGGAGCCGGCACAGCTGCACTTCCTGGAGCTGGTGCAAGCGGTACAGCACTTCCCGAAGATGGAACTGAACTATTGGGAGGAGCCGGTGCAGGAGGTACAGGAGCTGGCGCGGGAGGCGTAGACACGGGTGCGGGAGGTACAGGAGCCGGTGCCGGAGGCACAGGAGCTGGTGCGGGAGGTGCAGGAGCTGGTGCGCGAGGTACGGGAGCTGGTGCAGGAGGTACAGGGGCTGGTGGAGGGGGTGCAGGAGCTGGTGGAGGGGGTACAGGAGCAGGTGGAGGGGGTACAGGGGCTGGTGGAGGAGGTACAGGAGCTGGTGGAGGGGGTAAAGGGGCTGGTGGAGGAGCCGGTACAGCAGGATATACAGGAAATGCTAGAGCATTTGCTGGAATACCACGAGGAAATGCAAAAGGAGAAGTAGAGTTAGGAACTGTAACGACTTGTGGTGAGCCAGTTGGGGTAGCTGTTGCGTCCGAAGAAACATCTGTAAGTTCCAACATCGACTCAACGGTTGTAGCCCATGTTGTCGGCTCATCAGTATGATTAGCGCTTTCGCCTGCAGATATTCTAAAGTCAAGCGTTTAGGATACCTAGTGTTTTACAAATCCGCACCTCAGTAAAGCAGCACTCTTCGTAATTACGGATCTGTCAGAATGCTGATTTGTCAAAGACTTTGCAGGAACTTCCATAGTGAATTACTGAGATGGATTAAACTGATTTCCAATGAATATCAATAGATCTTTGGCTAAAAAATCTGTGATTCCAGAAAGCCATACTTACCATCCTGACAGTATGTTAGTTTGAGATTTGTCAACAGCGAAATTGCACACGGTACCAACATCCACCTCTTCATTGTTTTAACTCCTTTATACAGGTTAGAGTTCTGGTATCGACCAACTAGCTGGTGCTGGCAGGGCTTTCTCGCGATACGAAAACTTTAAAAATCGCATCTGAGGCGAAGTTTGGGTGTTTTGATGATTGACGCTCGACGATCAGCCGACGATTAGCAAACGATTAAAATATTTGTGAATGATTAATTAATGGTATAAACTGAGCCAGTGACAGAGCTGTGCCTGTCAACAAACTGCCCGTCCTGGAGACAAAAATGTTCCTAATCTTTACGATTTCGGCTCTAATAACGCCATTTCTACGAGCTGAAGGTTGTTTTTGTGCGTTTTTGCACGTATGTAAATTGCAAAAACGCATACTGGGAAGAGGCTGTCTGTGTGTGTATGTGTGTGTGCGTGTGTGTGTGCGTCTGTTTCTGTGTGTTCGCACTTTTTGTCAGCCACTTTCAACTCGAGAACCAGAAAAGCTAGAAGGCTGAAACTTTGGGAATATTTGCCTATACCATG